TAACGTGGTGACATCTAGAGAGAACGTTCTGGCTGTGTGTCAGGCTACTAGAGTTTCCAGATTCTTGAGAGTCAGGAGGGGTAACTTAGTGACAGTGGGTCTGTCCTTTTTCCAGGGAGGAGTTCCTGTTTGGATTTAGGTGCCCAGAGAGGAAGATAGCTGTGTGATATGAGATCCTTTCGATGGTGCTGTTCGGTTATGTGATTAGATCTATATGTTGTTGAGAAGCGATTTTGAGGGCGAAATCTAATTCAAGTGGGGGAGAATTGTAACATCCGGTTTACCAGGTATATTGTTTTGAGTATTTAATTCAAGAACTTTGGAGGGACTCGACGAGTCGGTGCCTCAACTCGTCGAGTAGGGTCGCGACTTGGTGACGTGTTTAATGAATGGACTCGATGAGTCGGAGAGATGACTCGCCGAGTCAGCGTTGTTGACAGAAACCCTAATTCTCTCGGGACTGGGCCTATTTAAAGGCTCTTAAGGCCTCCTATTGCGGCTACCTTTCAGGAGAGAGAACCCTAATCGAGTCCTTAGTGTTTTGGGCAAGGGAGTGAGCCATTTGAGCTTCTTGATGGATGGTTTGCAAGGAAGAAGGAGGTTTCAAGCTAAAGGGGGCAGAGGAGGTTGTAGATCCGCGAGTTACAACCTGGGAGCATCAGTTGGAGGTATCAATTCGGACCCCTTTTCTTCCCTAATTGTGTAGATCTTCCTTTTAAGGATTAGGGCTTGTATTATCTTCTTGGTGGGGTTTTGATTGCATCAAACCCCTCTTGTGAGCTGGTAGCATAAATCTGGACCTTGTAAGGTCCAGAAAGTCAGAAAGTAGAAAGCCATTATTGTGCAACCATGGGGTTTGGAGGTTAAGAAGCTTTAATGGAGTCTAAATGGCATATTGAGCGAAATATGCCATGCGTGGACATCAAGATCGGACCTTTACGTGACTTTTGGGTGGTAGAAGGCCAGATCTATAAGTTATAGAAATAGATCTGACCTCAGAAGGTCAAATGAGTGTTGCCATGAAGGAAACAGATCTGACCTCAGAAAGCTATGAAGGATCGTGTTGCTCCGCGATTCGTGATCAGTGGAAACCAGTCGAGTGAGAGGTTAACTGAGGGTATAAAGAGAGTATTGATTAGAGATATTATCATTTGACCTCAGGGTTTGGTCAAACTGATTCAAGAGAGGCCATGGAGGGGTAGAATCGTCTTCTATCCATTCTTTAGAGATGAGGGTATAAAGAGAGTATTGATTAGAGATATTATCATTTTGATAGGTGGAGGCTAGATCGGGGATATCGAGCACGAGAGTTGACTAGACATCATCGAGGTGATTTTTCTCACCATACCTTACCTAGAGTGGTAATTATGTGTGACCGGAAGGTCTTATGTGCTATGACGAGTATGTGATATATGTTTCTATGTGATATATGTATGTTATGGATGTTATGAGTAGCATGGTATGGACCGGAAGGTCAGTATGGTATGGACCGGAAGGTCAACAGGGTATGGACCGGAAGGTCAGCAGTGTATGACGTGGAAGGTCAACAGGGTATGGACCGGAAGGTCAGCAGTGTATAGACCGGAAGGTCAACATGGTATGGACCGGAAGGTCAACAGGGTATGGACCGGAAGGTCAACATGGTATGGACCGGAAGGTCGACAGGGTAGGACCGGAAGGTCTACTCCAAGAGTGGGAACGGAAGGTCCCTGAGACACATTGACCGGAAGGTCTCGTAGAGTTATAGCCTCGAGTGGCTAGTTGTATGTGCATGGTATTTTGGGGAACTCACTAAACATTTATGCATACTATGTTATGTGATATGTGTTTCAGGTACCAGCGAGGATCGCGGGAAGGCGCCGCAATGATTTATACACACTGGCAAAGGATTTTGTTTTGAGATTCTGGGATATGTTTTATCGTGATGACATTGATACATGAGATTTTTTAGAATATTATATGAGAATTATTATGTTTGAAAATGAAAAATTGTTTTAAAATTTACGTCGTTACAATTATTTTCCTTCAACAAATCCTATAGGAACAGAAAAGAACACATCAAGATCTGAAGACGAAAGGTGACTAAATGATGAATTTGGTTACTCATGTGGGCAATCAAGCCAATCATAATATTGTGTAGTCTCCAAGAACTACTACTCTAGTTCCAAAAAGGTTCCTATAGAAAAGTAAGTAGGTGAATTTTTCATGATAGATTTAATACAATGGGTTGCTAATTAATGCTTTCTTCTCATATTGTCATCCCAGAAAAGGAACAATTATGTGGGTACACCAGCATCTCAAATACCCCCAACCCCAAACAGGTTGAATACCATTAAGTTAATATAAGAATATGTTTTGTATGCTTCTTTTCCAATATTTTTAATTGTTTTCCATAGACTAATCATGGTACATTATTTTTAGGAAACTTTGCATGATGGTGAAGAAAATCATGTTGCATCTATGTGTGAGGAGCCACAAGCTGTATATTCAACAAAAAAAGGGGGGATATCAGCACTTCAACCCAATACATTGCAGCAATTGAGCAAAGTATGTATATTTAACATGTTTACACAGATATTCATGTTTCAGTTAAACTTTATACTTATAAATTTATTAATAAAATATGCATCTCTGTAGGGAATAAAATGTTCACTGTCAGTGTAATCTTACCGATGTCGTTGCGAAGGGTTATGTATATTATTCTACCGATGAAAACCATACATTTCATGGAAAGCCACTGATGATTGATTACTATAGAGTTATGTGGATTAAGCAATAAAGCCATCTGCTTGAGTACCAAACGAAGATAACAAAGTCCCGTTAACAGTTTTGGATGCAATAGGTTATATTGTGGCTTGTGAAAAATAGATATTGTAACCATTGATCCTAAGGCACTTTAGTTGCATAAGTTATATTAATTAATATTTATATTCATTAATTAAACCTTATAATTTTATTAAAACGATTCTATTAATTTATTACATACATTAATTGTGCATGTTTGATTCAATGCATGTTTAACACATATTTTAATTTATGTTGTTGGAGGATTCATATGTGCATATAGTTGAAGCAAATAACAAAATAGAAAATCCCAAAAAATCAGAGCTCAAGCAAAAGTAGTCCAAGAGTTATTATCCAACAACCGGGCTAAGGAGTTCAGCAACTAATAAAAAAAGTAGAGTTTAGTTTATTTGGTTTATATCATTGTATATATGTATGTTTTTTGATGTAATAACTTTATACAATTAATATTATTAAAAAATAGTTTTTTTTATTACACTATATTTTATATTTCCATTTTTGTGCATCATAGTAATGAAAGGTGGCCAATATGATTAATTAAATTACAAAAACCATTCTACAATATAAATAATAAAAAAACTTATTAGTGTCTGTATAGATCATTTTTTCCAACGGGTTAAACTTGTCGGTACATGTAAATAATATTAATGAGAAACAATTAAACATGTTAGTAAATTATACAACTTATGCTGACATCTTAATTACATTTGTGTCTCCAAAAGTTAACAATAGTCACGATAATATTTATAAATAGTGACTATAAATAAACATTTATCACTCTATTGGAAAAAACACATCATTATATATATTTTATGGTTACTGCTTAATTGTCCAATGAGCGAGTAATGTAAACAATATTCACGATATAATATTAAACATGTCAGCAAAAGTTATCAATAACAATAATAAAAGAAATAACACGTTAGTATATATTATTTTTGGTGCATTCTCAATTTTTTATATGTCGATATATGTAAACAATAGTAATAATAAACCATTAAACATGTTATTAAAGATAACTTATCTTTACAGCTTAATTACATCCGTGTCTCAAAAAGTTAACAATGGTTGCGATAATATTTATAAACGGTGACTATAAGTGAACATTTATGACTATATAGTAAAAAAATATCACTATAAGTGTATTATTCATGATGGTTAACAAAATAAGATAGATACATCTCCAAAAACACCATAACATATAATGACGGGTTTGACTTATAATAACAAGTTTAATGGGTTATACTCAACACAATTGAAGGAAAAAATAACGTATCTTTAATGATGCGAGTTTTCTTTTCATGTTGAATGAAAAATCCTGGCATAATATGTCTATAATGACAGGTTTTTTACGTAGATGAAGCCCAGTTTTGCACTACTGATTGTAATTACAAATCCATCAAAGAAACGATGATGCAAGAACGATGCCATGAAGACTCCTACTATACCCAAAACTAGAAGGATGGAATTGAAGATTAATAGCAATGAGGATGCCGTGAAATCAAGTGCGGAGGGTGTTACGACCCAACATTCATGGCTCGGGTTAAGGGTCCATGTCCACCAATCACTTAGATAAATCTACATATGATCGTTGATTTCAATGAGGGTGTCCCTTGGTTTCCTTTCTCGATCATGTCGTGTTATTTCCAAGTATTTTGGTATTCCATGTAAGGCTTATATAAGGTCAAGTAATCTTACATTTGTAATCACTTCATCTTTCAAAGCAATATAACATTTGACATTTTCCAGGTATCTACAAGTGCTCCAAACCTCTTATGGTCCCTATTTTTAGGCTTACTCGGCCCTTGAGCTATTTTATCGAGTCTCGCACAGGTCCAAAATTTGACCTTGTTAAACTATGGTAATGTGTGATAGAATATTTAATGTGTCATAGCTCCGTATGGTCTTCTATAGAGAAAGAGCATTGGTAGACACTATTATCCTATAAAAGAGTTAATGTTTTGATTGTAGCACATACTTTTCTCAATAAAGATGTAAACCATTTTTACAAGCTAGGGCTAAAAGTATTTTTCACCAAAAAGGTATAAATTGGATTATACTATTCCCCATGTGAATCCTTTCTAGTCGGGTATAAAATACCCATGCATGTTTGTGTATTCAAGCATAATCTTCATTGAGTACTTTGCATTGTGTGTGTTTATTGGTTAGTATAACATAGATAGAGTAATTCTTTTGGTGTAATGATTTATTTCATAGACGAGCTCAAGTTTATCATCTTTTGTGGTGATTCTTCCATACAAATGTTATAATTACAAATCCATCTATAACTCATGAAACTATACGCATATACTTAGTTTCATAAATAATATAAACAAATTATGCCAACAAAATTACAATTTAGGCGAGCACAGGTTAAACCTCATTTGCTATCTCACCATTCCTTCCTTTCTTCGAATCTCCAAACAATATGTCAAGGTTATATAGCATAGGCACCATGCTCAACGAACATAAGAACACAAGCACAGGACCAAAAATCCAAAGCACAATTGGGATCGCTGAATAAAAAATCCTATTTCCAGCTGCATTTAGAGTGAAACTCTTCTCTAAAAGCTCCGACACATAAGTAGAAGTCACTATTGTTGAATCTTGTGGGCAGTTGATCAAGTAGTTCACTTGGCTAATGAATCTAATTGATAGAGAATGACACATGAAAGAGAAGAGAAAGAGAACCAGCAGCGTTACGTACTTCAATGCCACCATGAATTCTCCATGTGCCCCATATATAGTGTCATTAAGTGGCTTTTTGACACTATAAGTACTACTGATAACTGCTGCTAAGCCGGAGCACAGTAGTATTGACGTGGTGGCCATTAGGGTTGATCCCATGATTGTGTTTCTGATTGTTTGAACAGCTAAGATGTTTTTCTTGTCATTATCCTACCAAAACATAAGACAGAAGGTTCATAAGGTTGATAATATACGTACATGTATGTTGATCATCTTTCATGTCATAACATTCAGAAAGTAATTGTTTCTTAGGAGAAAACGTTAATTTCATATTTTCGTCATAAACCATTGAGTAAAACATATTTGTGTCATTAATTAGACAATCTAAAAGTTATATCTTAAACCTAAAGACAATTTACAAAAAGGTAGTTTTTGGTCAAACGGCAACTAATTGGCTAAAATTTTGCACAACGGTGCAAAATATTAAATTTACAAAAATAAAACAAAAGTTAGGCAAATCTACTTGTTACGACTATAATTTTTATCTTTTTTGAGAAAGAAACATGTAATAAAATGAAAATAAAATAATAATATAATACGTAATTGTAGTGTTATCCCATTCAGAACACACAAAATATTTACATGCATGCACAATACATATATATATGCAGTCAAAAAGAATAGATTTTGGAAACAAATAATTTATTATTGGTGCTCGTTATGAATATAATAAAATCATAAATTAACAAATTCACAAATTTGGCTTTACATGAAAAACAAACACAGTTTCGTGTGCTATTCCTTTTGGCACTCTCAACATTCCACTTGAAGTTGCTTCCGTATCTGTCTTTCTCAACTTCCTACCAAGATTAGCACCCAGGACCAATTTTTATTTATATATTTATTTATTTTATTTTTTGGATGTGAATTTACTAGTTTGCAGGTCTTTTCTAAGACGTAAAGTGGAATTTAATCATATATTACGAATATCTATACAAAAAAAGAGAAATATAAAAAACTCTATTAGTAGATATGCTCGAATCATCTGTTGTTTCTTTTTAAAAACAATGAAGCACTAGTTCTCTAATCTACTCTTAATTTAAATTATTGTTACAGAAAGGACAGGAACCCTCAACCAAAATGGTTGAGGGGATTATGTCAACACAGTCAACACCGATTACCGTTGGTTATAAGTCATTTGGTTCTGGTGTTTAATAGTCGAAATAAGCAGAAATATAATGATTATACCCGATTAAGTTTAATATAATTTTCCGATCTTAATTGTTTAGAATGCAGTGAACGTTTATGACTTATACTATGTCATAATTTTATTTTGATATTTTATATAAATATATTCAGCAAATGACTTTTAAATAGTCATATAATATGCGACGATATAATCCTTTTCTTCACTTCCAAAACCTATGACCCGCACACATTAAGATAATTTAGAAGTTAAGTTAATCCTGCAGTGTGTTATTGCCATAATCAGCCAGGTGAAATATACGTGTCGTAAAATCTAAGATCAACACAATTTTACCGTGGGTACAAACATACCTTCATAATGGTGGATACCCATAAGCGGCGTCCATGACCATTTACACCAATAACAGTTGAAAGTGGTCGATTTCGAACATTATGCCATAACCACAGGTGATAACCGATAGTTATCAGAAACGATAAGGGTACCAACACCAGATCAAGATAACACTTTCTAAATTCCATTTATCTTCTCAGAAAGCTCTCTCTAATTTTGTAGCTCTGAATATCACAACTTATGTAGGGTATTATCATGTGTGGGTGTTTATATAGGGTCAGGAAAGGATGAATGCCTAAGAATGATGTTGGTAGCAACTTTAATTTGCACTAATTAAGAGCATCTACTGCGGACTTCTTTTATTTAGGGTCAGAATATTGTCAGGCTAATGCATGCTGTATAAACACCAAATAGAAGTTTACTTTTACATGTTTATAAATGGTTTCACAATTTTATTTATATAAGCTGACGGATAGATGTTCTTTAGTCAAAGGTCGAGTGTTTAAGTCCGGTTTGAAACCAAACCGTGTAGACTATGACTAGTATAATTGGTGCGTGTGTATTGGTTTTATTTATATATATATATATATATATATATATATATATATATATATATATATATATATATATATATATATATATAAAAAAAAAGGTATTTATTTATTTAAAGGGTCATTTGAAAGTTTGAAGTTATGAGATTAAAAAAATTGACCAACTTTATTTTAGTGTTCTATAGGAAGTGATTACCGCTACTCCTTAAATAGTAATTATTTTATTAATTAATTAATCTTGATTTGTTGATTATGTTTGTATGTAGTATATCGGTCAATCTTATATATTTGAGTTTAGCTTTTACTATCCGCTATTAAATATTACTTTAAAAAGCATGTTTCTTAAAATAAAATTTCTAAAATTATCTTTTAATGTGCAAATCATAATAATATTTATCAAATAAAATTGAGTTGGAATATGTTATTAAAAGTTAAGGATGATATATGATTTTTTTTCTTTTTAATGGCGGTTTGGTAATTGGTGCACCCGATAGTGACATCTAATTGAGCAGTATGTTATAACACACAATGAATCTAGGTTCGATCACTCCCGGAAAAGATAACAACTTCCTTAGCAACCCGGTTTAACTGATCTCAATATATAGTACATGAAATGTACTATTATTGTATTTTTACGGTTTGGAAGAAACGTATAATTAAGCAACATTTATATAAATATTGATCTTCTATCTCTCTCTCTCTTTCTCTCAAAAAAAAAAAAAAAAAAAAAAAAAAAAAAAAAAAAACCCAAGTGATTTCCAATGTCCATTTTCGTCCGTCTTGCAAAGCTAGAGATTCTCCCAGTAAGGGTGATTCCATGCATCACTTCATGCGTGAATATATAAGTACTGAAGATTCAAACAAATAAATAGAGATTAAGGAATCCAACAGAAAAGCATCTGTTCTTTTCTTTTTCTTTTTATTTTTATTTTATTTTTTTTTTTTTTGTGTACCAGTTTCTATTTTATTCTTGGTATTTATTTGTATGACAGATTCCTGACTATTTTTAAAAAAAGAGAATCAGTGTGACATTCCATTGGGTATCGTATCCATTTTCGTATGAGATTCTACTTGATTTTTATGTTGTTCATGTTCTAGTTGAAACTTTGTTAATATTAAGAAAACTTGCACAATGTAGGCAAATGAAAATTTAGCTTCCCTTACAAAGCTTTACTAACTTAACATATCAAAAACGGAATTAGCTTGTGTTGTGATTGTGTGCTCACTACAACAATCTACCACTATGCGACGATATATATTAACCCCATGTCTTCGCCACAAAGCCATCGGCATAGACTCGTTGCCATAGGTAGAAAAAGTTGTCGGGATAGAATCACCCTATACCGACAACATGTCGTCGGCATTGGTCTGTTGGGAATGATTTGCGTAAAAAATGGATTAATTTCTTATAAGGATGACACTACAAGAAAAACGACAATTAACGGCGACAAAAATCGCTGCTAAAAGTAGGATTAGTCGCCGGTAAAAGTAATAGCACCGACAACTTGATCAAATGTCACCGCTTACATCAGTTACCGTCGCTAATAAGGCTGTTGCCGGGAATACCTGTTATCGCTATCGTTGCTAATACCTCGTTGCCGGTAATAATCGTACGTCGTCGGTAATAATCATTTTCATATTTTTTTAAATCAGCCCTTTTCGGGTGAAGAAAAACCGATACGTAACTACATTAATCGCCGAAAACACGAAAAGATTAGATGCAAAAAAAAGTTATGTAATGACACCCATCATCTTCCGTACAAATACGAAAGTGTTATTACTACATACAAATACCAAAATAAACAACAAATGGATTATAAAGTTATGTCATAACAAGTCTAACAAAGCACAAACTAATCTGACGAACCATCATCTTCGCTCCCCTCTTTTTCTCCTTATCATCACATCACTACTAAAGTACATTGTTATTTTTTGCACTTAAATACAAGAAATACCAAAAGTAGATTTTTATTTTTTGCACTGGGGACATAAACACAATTACTAAATCAACAGGCATTTATTGATGCCAAAGTACATTTCTATTTTTAGATTAGGGAGAAAAAAACAAAGTGCATTGTTATTTCCTGCACTTCAAACGTAAACACAATTACCAAATCAACATTCATTTATTAATCATTATATATATATATATATATATATATATATATATATATATATATATATATGAGTATAAAATTAAGTAGTCTTGTTTTACCTACGATGGTCGTGATTGTGGTGGTGGTTGCGATGGATGTGCAATCGGCGAGATGACAGAAGGTTTTCGGCCGATGCCTCCGATATGGCCACGCCGAGAACCTAATACTTTCTCGAAACAAGCTCTTTCTTCAGTGGGTGTTATATCTCTTTCTCCATTTAATCCTTGCGTTTGTTCTAAGAGCTTGTGCACTAACTAATTATGTGTTTTCCAAAAATAATTAACAACTAAGTATAAATAAACACTTACTAATATGATAAAATTATAATTAAATACTTATGTATTGCTTCTCGGCTATATCACAGACAAATACACCCTTCTTATCCGTATGAGCAACATGGAACGTTTCAACTCTCTTTAGGTTCTGTTTAACATTAAAAACTATATTATATACCACACGTTACGTATTTATAGAAATTACTATTATATGTGCTTGACCCCCCACGGTTTGCGTACTTTTGCAGTTGACTTTTTTGTTTCTTTCCAAAGTTGTTATGTGTTCATATGTTTGGAAGTACTTAACTGCTTTCCTCAAATTATAAATATCCAAATCATCCGTCAAAAAAAAATTCTATTGCGTCAACTGTACGATCTTTAAAATGTTTTAATATAAGTCATATCAAAATTCTCTAACAACCTAACACTCTCTAGATCCAGGGAAACCCGATCCAAATCAAACTCTGTCTACGAAAACAAAAACAAAAAATTATCTAAGTAAAAATTAGCCATAATTAAAAATATAAAACACTCTTATATAAATAATTTACCCTTATATGTTGTTTTATTGTATCCTTTAACGTCGGGGAAACTTTTTTTCAACTTCTTCTATAACTGGGACTATCTGCCACATTATTTTCAAAATCTCACATGCAAACATGTCTTTTGGTTCTCCGACGGAATCAAATGTAAGATCCCTACCATGTTCCAAGTCTATTGGTTTGCCCTTATTATTTAAAAGCGCCTTTTGCATCTTAATGTTTTAGGCTTTTCTTCTTACTCTCCTCGGTGGATCAACTACAAATATAATTAAAGATTTATTAGAAACGATATTTTATAATAACTGAATAAGAATAGATAATAGAAATTCATAATAAGACTTCCCATCATGCTCATGCTGACTAGGACCTCTACCACCTGGGTGTGGTGGATCCCCGACTCCATCGCCCCATGTCCACGACTCATAACAACAACCATGGTGTATAGAAACAAGATCGAAATCAAAGCCATTACTGAAAAATTATAAGATATATAGATGCAGTTTCTATTACAAATACACATCACATAGGAATAAACATTTCTATTTAAACTAGGAATCCAAATAAAATTTTTATTACATAGACACATTACATAAGAATTATTCTAATTAGAATCTCCCTCATATCTTTCAGTGTCTTCTTCAGTATCATAATCAAAATCATTCTCATCTTAATCAGTCTCTCAATCAGAAACATTATTGACTCTAACGGTTGGCAGAAGAACTTCAATCGCACTCTCTACCTCATCATCATCGACTCTAGGAATGTTTTGAAAGTACAATGCCGAAATCGATAAAAAGTGAAGCATTGCATGAAGAGATATTTTGAACTACGTGTAACGAACCAAAATTTTCAAATATGTTTTTCATTTTTTATTAGCCAAACATTCCAATAAAATGTGAAGTAACATTAACCACTGTTTTCAAAATTCATAACATTAACATTTTATTCAAAACATCAGAGTGTCCCATCAAAACAAATGTCAGAGAGTGCACCCGCGCCATCAAGCCTTGCCTTTTCCCTTAGGCTTAGATGTACCTGAAAAAATCAACAAACTGTAAGCTAATTCTTAGTGAGTTCCCAGAGCATACCCCACACACAATCCACATAAACACAAATCATATTAGCTATAAAAACAACATATACCACATAAGCCATGCATACAAACATATAAGGATGCCGTAGGATCCTCCCAAGGTCTTACTCCGGGATGCCATGGGCTCCCCCACACGATCTTACACCTAAGTGTCATCGGCTTCCCCATAGTCTTTAGCTGGAAAGCCATGGGCTCCCCCACATGGTCATACATCCAAGTGTATGGGCTCCTCCCATGGTCTTTACTTAAAAATCCATGGGCTCCCCCACATGGTCTTACATCCAAGTGCCAAGGGCTCCTTCCATGGTCTTCCCTGCAAGTATCACATATATAGCTAGCATAACACTAATCATAACTAACTATCATACCACATATCTCTACAACAAAGAGTGCACCACATATCACAAAATGGGCCGGCCTTGGTGCCTTAGACCCATTGGTATGGTGAGGAGACTCACATATGTCTGCTGAATTCGAAAGCTGCTCTCCTAACAGTCTGTGACCACCCGTGCTGAACAATAATACCATTAACCCAAGTTAAGATCAAACATAATCCATATTAAAGGAACCAAACCCCAAGTCCTTTTACAATGGCCGAAAAGTCTTCATTTGCTAA